TGAGACATTTGCCTGAAACATTTTTCTTAGAAGCTCTGCTTTGCATATTTGATGACATATGGACCTCAGTGACATTTCCGTCTTCGTGTCATGGTGCTTTATATCTCGGTTCCTTCACCAAAGCCTGGCCTTCAGATTCTTCACATTATCGACCTATTTCATTGTCTGTGTCTGTAAAACCATGGAACCATAGTAATAAAATAGGTAAGTACTTGAAACCAACCCAGTAATCATTAAAAATAAATGTGGGTTTCAAAGAACAAAAGAACCATCGATCGTGATTAAAATTGATTTGTTTGTGACAACATCGTGAATAATCAGCTTCAGTCGTCTGTGATTTAAACAAGGAGTATGGCACCACGTCGTAGCAGGTTATTTGGAAAGATGTGATTCGTGATTTTGGTTTCAGAGGCCTTCTCATTATATATCTCAGATAGAGAGTTTCAGTGTTGGCTCTTCCCTGTCTTTTGTCAACTGCTTCCCGGCAATTGGTCCAACAAAAACAAACAACTGAACATATTGACAGCAATACTTAGTATGTATCTAGTGCCAATATGACTGGATCGAAAACTACATCTTCCTGATTACCAGACAATAGCTCTATATCGACAGCTTAGTATAAGGTAATACACATAACCTTGGAATACATTCAGCAGCAGTCTCTATATTTTTTCAGATTTCTGATTCACTGTCATGTTTTCAGGCAATGGAAAACATATTTTTGGATCACACATTGGTTTTGGAATGATTAGAATTAGAAACCGATCTTGCCGCTGGCCATTGTCTTTTGTTGGCTGGCCAGCCATGTTGACGTAGTTGGTAATCGATGGCAGGGCAAAAAATCTGTTACACCATTTCCTGTTCCATACAGTCATTTCAGTCACTGAAGCATATTTCACTTGACTGTATAGAGCTTGCTCTTACAAATTGCAGTTGTTATCATATCGACATGAGCTTCAGCAAAGTGTGTATTTGTGTTCATTGATCCGGTTTCTGTTATGTTAAGACCGTAATATACCTTACTGTTTTACTGTCCTTTGGTGAGAGATACTGTAGAAGGAATACCGTGTGTTCATCGCTATGGCTGTCACTCAATCGTTATATACTCATTCATAAAAGAAACTATCTTATAAAATCCAGTAAAACATATCCTGATATTTACTAACCCGCCTTGCAAAACATATTAAAGAGGATATCCCAACACCTTTGAGGTTGAGTGAGTGAGTGAGTATGGTTTACGCCGCTTTTTAGCAATATTCCAGCAATATCACGGCGTAGGACACCAGAAAAGGGCTTTACATATTGTACCCATGTGGGGGAATCGAACCCGGGCCTTCGTCGTGACGAGAGGATGCTTTAACCACTAGGCTACCCCACCGCCCCCCTTTGAGGTTGATATTAACGGGTTTACATGTGCGTGTTCATGGACGGAACACTATGCACGAATGATCTGTTTTGAGTATTATGCTGTTTTAATGAAAAAAGTACACAATGATTATTTAGATAGCGGGCACTCATAATGTCACATTAATTTAGCCGTAAATGACTCTTACGCAATGCCATGCTTAGCTGAAAATAAACAATGAGTGAGTGAGTGAGTTGGGTTTTACACCGCTTTTAGTAGTATTTAAGCAATATCACGGCGGGAGACACGATAAATGGACTTAACACAATGTTCCCATGTGGGGAATCGAACCCGGGTCTTCGGCGTGAGGAGCGAACGCCTTAACCTCTAGGCTACCCCACTGCCCCATATAAACAATGGAAGCTGTGATAGTGCACAACGAAGACGTTTCCATTTTCATCAAACACTTAATCATCTTTTTGGAGCTGGATTTTCAACAAGGCACACGTAACGTCTCACGTGACGTCACATTACCCAGGCAACAATACTCGGTTAGTGCATCTACAGACTTTATACCAAATTGTCACATTATGTTTGAGACCATTTAGTGAGAGAACCGTGAGCAACCAACGCTCCAGAAACAGCTACAAGCCCAGTCCACGTAATTATTCGGGACTTTTATGTGGCACCTTACAGAACGTCGTCAGTGTGAGGGTAGCAGTATAGGGGCATCGCAACACAACTCATCGTTATGGTTTATATATTTGAATGGCGTACCCTACCGCGACTTCTTCCTTAATGCCATGTTCAGCTCTTTGTACCTGTGAAGATCCGGGTAAGAATGAAACTTCAGTGACCCATGCTTGTCGTAAGAGGCGACTACAGAGATCGGGTGGTCAGACTCGCTGGCTTGGCCGACACATGCAATCGGTTCCCAATTGCGCAGGTCGATGCTCGTGCTGTTGATCACTGGATTGTCGATTATTTACACACCGCCGCCATATAGCTGGAATAATGCTGAGTGCTGCGTAAAACTAAACTCACTCACTCACTCACTCAGCTCTTTTACAGATGCAACTTAAAACATAGCTTAAAAAATGCAACAGACAACACCCGGAACCCATACCACATGTTCAAACAATTTCTGTCCTTAACCGTCCTGCACCGACGTTCTCGGGTGAGTTTCAGGGTCTCTCCCTACAGAACAGCATTTCAAGCGATCCTGAACTGACGTTCTCGGGTGAGTTTCAGGGTCTCTCCCTACAGAACAGCATTTCAAGCGATCCTGAACTGACGTTCTCGGGTTTCTCTCCCTACGGGTGAGTTTCAGGGTCTCTCCCTACAGAACAGCATTTCAAGCGATCCTGAACTGACGTTCTCGGGTGAGTTTCAGGGTCTCTCCCTACAGAACAGCATTTCAAGCGATCCTGAACTGACGTTCTCGGGTGAGTTTCAGGGTCTCTCCCTACAGAACAGCATTTCAAGCAATCTTCAAAATGTTTCTGCATGAATCAAGGTACACAAAATAGGTATAATTCAGCATGCATCGTTTTCTCAGGTTAAATACAATCAAAACTAAGGAACCCAATGCTATTATAACACACGTCGAATAGAGTTTGGACAGGCATTTGTGAAACACATATAGGTCAATAGAAAACCAGCAGCCCGGGGTATGTTAGCATTCCAGCGACAATGGGGGCTGAAGTACCTCTACCACTTGCATGGTATCCCTAGTCAGTAGTCGCTTGATCTACCTATGAAGCTTAATGCATGAATATCAAAGCGCAGTTACTTTTAATTGTTGTTTCGTTGTTGACACGCTTCGGTCACAGCATCGCCCCACAGTAGGAATTCGATTTTATCGATAGAATATAACAGATACTAAGTTTCATAAATAGCAAGCGTCTGTCAACTGAAATACATTTTACATATTTCCCAGTGATACTGGAAAGATTCTGTCTCTGGTGCTAAATCTACATAGTCGCTTTTCTAATGCCAGAGTACCAGATAGCAATGAAATCAATGTGCACCGTTGAGATCTACTTATTAACAAATGATTTTACAGTGCGAGTATCCTTGAGCACAGTCTAAGAACACAGTCTGTTGCCGTGCAATCACCATTTGGCACTGTTAAGATCAGTAAACTATTCATATGTATAAAAAGGTTAAAATCTGATAATGAAGGAACGCCACATGTTCTGTAAGGGTGATATGTTGCCATTCAACAATATATTTAATTACTGTATTAAGTACAAGCACATAATAACATGCCTGTGCCGATTTCATAGTTTGACACCAATCAACTGGAGCAAGTTGATTAATACATAAACACAAAGAATCAAAATGTTTATTGCTGGGCAATTCCTTGTCATCGAACTTGTTATGAATTATCGATACTTCCCATTATCTTGATACAAGGCAATTGTGAAACAACAACCATTACACCCTTGATTAATCGTGTATTTAATCACCACGCCAGACTAAATTGATATGATGTATGCCAAGCTTCCTCATTTGAAGCAAACCCAACAACATTTCCCACACAGAATGTACGCATGGTGTCATGGTGAAACTTACAATACTTGCAAATGTCTAATTACATTGTTTCAGATTGAATGTACATTAAATTTTACATTTGTGGACGAGCTACATACATGTATATCATTATATTTAATTCCCCAAAATAATTCCTTTGATATTTTACATAAATAGGAAGAAGTGTTTTCAAATAAGTGCAAGCTCTTCCGCGGGGATCAAGATTTGTCGATTACACTCGAGGTTGCTGATGATGTTCTTCAACAGCACTATCATATCTGCTTTGTGAACTTTAGAACACAAGCAATCTTCCTAACATTGTCTCATGACAAATAACTTATCAATTACAATGACTTCACCACACGAGTTATCTGGGTAAATATATAAAGATGGTATAAGCATAATGAAAAGCCTGGCACTCTGTCTGTATAGCAGGAAACAAATAATCAACGAGCTTTCATTTATTCTGATCGCAATACTAAAAAGAGGTTAAACAGCATAACGAACAGTTTGAAAAATAATTATTTGTGCACTAACCATTAATCTGAAAAACGCGTTTAAGAAAGCAACAGTATATTTTCGCTTTTTTAGGCCAGGACAGTTTCTTTCCTTTCGATTTGTAGTGTGAAGACAGAATGTATTCGAAAATATTTGCGACAACTGATTGTCAGAATGTTACTGTCTACTTGACTTTAAGCATTTAACAATTCAAACAGTATGAAATCATTGTGCATTGTAATATTTTATCGTTAGGTTTCTACAACACCAGAGAGCAAGAGAGAGAAGCCGAAACCCTGACTGCCCAAGTTAAACTTTGACGGAAACATCTGAAACATCTGAAGCAACAATATCACACCTCAACGAACAAAGTATTCGAAGTTTTAAACATACATAACCGTACGTTTGAGATAAAAAGCTCACCCGATTGTTTAATGAATATTCTGGCCGTCGCGATTGTCTTCCCAGATGATGAGACTGAATATATGTAGGTGAGTATGTTGGGGGACATATATTTTAAAATCATTATCAAAATAATAATTTTGTTAAAAGACAAATATGACCTCTGAATGACAAATGATATTCATTAGCTTTGATTAAGTTTGAGGAAACACTAGCTCACCCGAATATTTAATGAAGGTTCTGGCCGTCGCGATTGTCTTCCCAGATGATGACACTGATGATCTGTAGGTGAAGCACTGGTCCTGATACTGTGTTGCCGCCACACAGAGGGCGTCCCGTGCACAGAGGCCCACACAGTCCTGTAAGCTTCCAGACTGACTCGTGGTCACCTTGACTTCGTCTGCCTCCAGGTTGTCAAGAGTGATGACCCGTGAAAACAGGTGTCTGGATGCAGTGTTCATTGCAAACGCAATAGAGATGAAAAGACTGGACTGGAGTAACAATAAGTTCATTTTCTTCGCCAAGAAGCTGGAGAACTCCTTCAAACACCTGTATCCGCCTCCACCACAAACGTAACTGTATCGGTATCAACGGATTTCCTTATACATCCCCAATGCCTGATTGGCCACATTGATTTTCAGAATACATGGTGCATCTTAAGGATGGTTTACTCTTTGATTGACAGATAATATACGTAGTCTATTCCCAACAAAGACAACGTATTTTCCTTCACAACAAATCATTAAAAAGATCAATGTTATTGATCACTAGTTCACTACATGATCTTATTTACTAAAGAGATCGAAAAAAGACTTGATCATCGACTTCACAACAAATATCAAGGAATTAGAACCCCCCCAGCATTAGAAATATCAGTCAGATTCAGGCATACTTGTGTTGCCATTAGCAGTTCTGTAGCTCACCTTCTTATGTCGTTGGTTTGCTGTTTATCAGCAATATCCCACCTACGTGGCGTCTCCTCCGTGACAGATATTTATCATATATACTAACTTTGTTCTCTTCACTATGTGGCTGAAATATTGCCGATGTAGAATTAAATTTACCTCACTCACTATATGGCGGCGGTCTGTAAATAATTGTGTCGGGACCAGACCATCATGTGATCAACAGTATGAACATCGATCTACCCAATTGGGATACGATAACATGTGTCAACCAAGTCAGCGAACCTGACCACCCGATCCCGCTAGTCGTCTCTTACGACAAGGATGGGATGCTGAAGACCAATTCTAACCTGGATCTTCACGGGTCACAGACTTCAACGGGAATAGAGCCAGGCAGCATGACAAACATTAGTCAGATACAGAAATACATCTCTTGTCAATTGCACCATGACACTGTAGCTCACCTTATGTAGTCAGCAGTAAAAGATGTCAGCATACGAGAGCCACTTGACAAAACCTCAGATATATTTTGCCCAAACGACTACACCTAATCATTCCAGCTAAAAATTATGCTGCCATCCGCAGAAACACAAAGCCCTGCTTAAGCCAACCAAATTCACTGGCTCGGTTTACAGAGAGACACGTGCATTTTAAGATCACACGCGTATTGGCATAACAAGATCGCAACGTAGAAAACATTATCGACTAATCCTTATTTGTTCAGCTCTATGCACGGCAATGTTCAGAGTCTGGACAAGACAATCCAGTGACTGGCACCAATAGCCTTGATCTACGCAGTTTAGATCTTGAAGCTTTTGTGATATGATGTCAAATGAAGTTTAGGCTTTACATGTACACTTGTTTCTGACTGACTGACTGACTGAGTTTAGTTTTACGCCGCAATATCCCAGCAATATCACGGCGGGGACACCAGAAATGTGCTTAACACATTGTGCCCATGTGGGGAATCGAACCCGGGAAATGGCGTGACGAGCCAACGCTTTAACTATAGGCTGTGCCCACACTTGCTTCGGAAACGATGCTTGGACTGTGAGGAAGTCCATCTTGAAAGAGAAATATTAAAGTTAACGGCACATCCGCCATATAGCATTTTGAGTGAGCGAGTGACTTTAGTTTTACGCTGCTTTTAGCAATATTCTAGCAATATCACGGCCGGGGACACCAGAAATGGGCTTCACACATTGAACCCATGTGGGGAATCGAACACGGGTCTTGGCGTGACAAGCCACCGCTTGAACCACTAGGCTCCCCCACCAATGGTATAAATCCGGCTTGCCGGAAGCAGGAGTGTCCCCGCGATGCCCACGGTGTGCGCCGTGCCTAATAAGGTGGCCTTACATCCATTGCTAGTAATTATTTTATATTTGGACGCTAGCTGGATTTACACTATCCCTTCAGATGTGATTGAAGACAAAATTATCCATAAATTAAACAACAACATATAGTCGGTTTACAAAGAGAGTTAAGGCCATAGATCGTTTTAGTTTAGCACGGTCAATACCAAATCACAATTCATAATACTGCAACATCCAGAGCATTTAGCAAAAGACACATGGTTATGAGTCAGTGAGTTGGGTTTTACACCGCTGTTAGCAATCTTCCAGCAATATCACGGCGGGCACATGGTTGAGGGTTTTACACCGCTGTTAGCAATCTTCCAGCAATATCACGGCGGACGCTTGGTTTATGAGTGAGTTGGGTTTTACACCGCTTCTAGCTATGTTCCAGCAATATCACGGCGGACACATGGTTATGAGTGAGTGAGTTGGGTTTTACACCGCTTTTAGCAATCTTCCAGCAATATCACGGCGGGCACATGGTTATGAGTGCAACACATGGCGAACAAACCTCTTCAACAAAGTATTATGTCATAACTGCTGAAGTGACTTCGATTCTGAAGATGATGCAAGGAAACATCCAGAGATAATACTGGAGCGTGGCCAATGTACATCGACCACAAACAGTTTCATCAATAGCGGGTGCGCGTGGAATTTACGACCAGAACAGTCGAAACAATTCTGTATTGAATCAGCTTTCTGAGACAATGTTTAATAGTCAATGATAGTGGTACTGGTGTACTGTTCGATTTCTGTCTAAACAAGTAGGGATTCGAGTAAGAATCGCATCGAAATCTATGACCATCTCACGGACTGCCCAGCCCCCATTAGATGGGTCGATGTACTGCTATCGATCCTCATTTTGTCAATAACTAGATTGTGTTTTCCTGACCAAAATACAAACAAACCTACAAAGCTACAAACCACTATAGTACAGCAGGAATATTTGGGGTGTTCGTAGTTAAGGTTAAGCTCGTTCCCCATGTGGTGCAATTTCCTTATGATACAACCGCCTCCATGGTGTAGCGGTTAGAGCGTCCGCACGGAGAGCGGAAGGTCGCGGGTTCGATCCCTGGCCGCGTCATACCAAAATACGTTAAAATATGGTACTTGTTGATCCGTGCCTGGCGCTCGGCTTTAATGGGTACAACACGTACTGGGCTCTTACTCTCGAAATGTTTGTAGCCCTAAGAATTCTTAAGTTTGATCGTAGCCAATGTGTTATAGAATCGGCGTAAGAAGTTTGTAGGGCTACGAACGTTTCGAGAATAGCTAGCCTGGTTGGCTTGGCGTCAGTATAATGTGTCTGAGTGGGTATTCATGTTTAACTGCGGCATGATGTCTCAGTGGGCTAGTACTATAAGACCTGCTTGTATTATTCTGGGCTAGTAATATTCTTAAGTATGACGTTAAACCCCATTTCACCTCAACTCAGCTTATGATACAACTGAAACTACTACTTCCACTGCCCCGACTACATCCTAGGCTGACGGTGCAGGTGCTGACGTACCTCCATTACACGACACGATAACCTGTTACAAATAAAGAAAGATAATTTCGATACCTTTTCATTTGTTTGTGACGGTGCCATTGGTTCTATCTTTCCTAAGATGGGGAAGTTTGTTTCTGATGAGTTCGATTAATGGGTATAATGTTTCATTTGTTTGTGATATTGTGGAATTGGTTCTCATCTTTCACGAACACGAGGCATTTCATCTATCGACCGAGAAACTACATATCCACTGAGAGCTTGAATAGCTAATTTCACTATATGTTTTCAACGTCTGTTTCTAAGACTGCTATATTCATTTGTCTCAACGTACGTTGTCACCATGGACACATCACCCTAGTGATTAAGGAAAACAACAACCATTGTTTAAAAGAAAAACGCGGAAGTTAGATAATAGCAGCACATAAATCTATAAACGGACTTTAAAGGATCAACTCAACTAAATATTGACATTTTTTGGAGTGTGCGTGCGTCAATTGTTTCAGTACTTTTTTTGTATTTTTCCCATTTTAAGTCTTTTTAAACTGGTAGAGTTCGAAGTAATATCAATATTTACGTTTAATGAGCGGGTGAAAATATGTTATCTGTTAAAGGTCTTTTAATCATATATTCAGGCACAGATCTTGTGCCAGGACAACCAGAAAGTCACATGTGTGTATTTTATATATATAAAATGTCTTTTGATATCAAATATATCACCACGAGTTGATAAAGTAACAAATATCTGAGGCTTGCCTTTTATCAACGAGTGTTGATATATTTGATATCAGAAGACACGAGGGTGAGATTCTATTTATCATCAAAAATCACTCTTCATTAGTTCTCAATGAAAAATGTACATCTCTGAACACAGTACTGCCATTAGATTTGCAGTGCAGCGATGTCATAGCATTGTGACGTCATCAAGTTCAGGACGTCATAGCATTGTCAGGGCATTGTGCAAAATCTACTGTCAAAACGATATCTCCTAGGAGATATCGTCTGATCTCACACAAGCGATATCTCCTGTGGAACACAGTTTTGGATGATAAATTCTTTGTTGTGGCGAATATCAAGCTTTAGACATTGTATCGTCTACCGGTTTTGATTTAGTCAGTCATATTTTCAATCCATCTCAATAGGTTTTGCGTCACCTGATTTATATATCTATATAAGTTTGTAATCCAATACTGGTATCTAGAGGAGATATCGCTTGTAGAAGATCAAGCGATATCTTCAAGGATAGCAACTTCACAGCCAAGGATATATCGCTTTGGTAAGTTTTGAGCTAATTGCTGATTGATCACTATTTTAGGACTACTTTCATCTCCTTTAGCTGTAAACAAAGATGGTCACCGCGACAGTTATTTTTGTTCATGATTTGTTATAGGCATAAAAGTTATGTGCTTGTTTTCTATGACCAAATGGTGTCATGCGTTCCCTCTTTCATCACTCTTGTTCACTTGGATGTATTCAGACGCAAGTCTTCAAATAAACTTGTTACAGGTGACGTTTTGTTTTTAATGCCGTTTAAGAATTCACCGGACATAAAAAACCTACTCTCCATGCAGTCCTGCATGTTTTAATCGATGTAATATCAATGCTTATGCACTATTTCGCATCAGGTTTTATGTGAACAAATATTGGGAAACGTCCCAGTTAGATAGTCGCTTCCGCCGCCATTGAACATAAGTGGGCAGGAGCCTTCAGTTGAGTCGGCACTGTTTGTTTACTTGTCGTTAATGTTTGCTTTTGACACGCGACGTTTCGACATTGTTTTCAGAATAGTAAATACACT